AGGGAACTCGTCCTTGACTTTGTTAAAACGGTGCGCATAAATGATGAGCTCTCAGTGCTCATCATCTTGCTTAGCACCGAAATTGGGTCCCATTTCAAGGTGCTTCCATTTATATAACAGAAAAAGTGTATTGTTTATAGTGAAAAGGAGAGCAAGACACGGAAACAGCTAGTGTGCATAATTAATGAGCTCACATGACAGATATTAATACTGGTATTAAAATAAAACCAAATCTTGAAGACAAGAATAAAGCATACTTAAGATTTATATATACTTCGCAGTTTAATTATAAGATATCATTTATAAACTATAAACGAGATTTTTATAATTAGGATCAGAGATTATATAATTCATAATGTTAATACCTAAAAATGTTAAGAATAGTTGGTCAAATATTATAAACATTTATTAATACTAATAGTAATACTGATATCCTTTTTCTTATTATTAGTGCCTATTTTTCTAATAAGATAAGAGTACTGTTTTTATTCTAAGGTAATAATTAAAATAGAACACACTTATCCCATTTGAAGTAAAATTATAGCCTTAATAAATATGGTAAATGTTTGTTTAAATATTATAACAGTACTCTTATCTTTGGCCAACAAAAAAATCTTATCAATTTCTTTTTAAATATCAATTGCCAGCCATAAGAGGCATAGATTATGCGAGATAATTTCAGCCAAAAGTACCATGTGAAATGAGGATTGGAACCCTTTAGTTGAGCTTTCTCATTTAAGTCTCAATTAACGGATATTAACTATTAGATGCCCTCTAATAGTGTTGAGATAAAGATCTTTATTTTTTTTTAAAAAAATAAATTTGTAATTCCCTTCAAAGTTATCAAATTCATGAGTTTAAATACACTTATGATAAATATGTGAACTCAAATTATAAACTCGAATCATAAACTTGTAAAAATTTACTTTTATTAATAAATTAGTATTAAAAATAGATAATTAAATAATTAAAATATAAAAAATAACACCAATATTATTTAAATATATTTTAAATCCAAATAATTGGAATTAAATTTATTAACGTTCACAATATGCCATATTTAACAAAATTTTTTTACAAATTCATATATATATAAAGTTATTAAACATAATCAAATTAAAAAATTAACACGAATTTAAGTGTAAGGTGACATGATTTTATAAGCTGGAAACGTAAAAACAGTAAACTCAGTAAGCAAACTCTTAAGTTTAACCTAGTTTATAATTATCATGAGTTTAAGAGCAAGTCGATATAACTTTATAAACTGAAAATGTTAAAATATTAAACTCGGAAAGTCAACTCTTGAGTTTAACAGCAATGATCCCCCTCAACACTATTAGATATCATGATATATATGATGATTAATATCTATCAATTAATTGTTTCACCTGCGAAAGCCTCAATTCAGGGATCCAAATTCGTGAAATCAGATAACATTTATACGCATTAAAAAGATACCTCCACATGATCTGACGCATGCTACGTGGGGTTAACTCAAGTGGTCAGAGTGAGGTGAGGTGCAGATATAAATATACAATGGTCAAGAGTTCAAACCTCTGCATTTTTTTTTGAAAAAATAATCTAACGCATTAAAGTAGCACCAAATATGTTTATAAAATAGCGAATAAAGATTAATCTAATTGATAAAAGTACGATTAATAGCTCAGAAGAGTATATCGGGCCAAAAAAAAAAAAAGCTCATAAGAGTATAAATTTCATTGCGAATGTCAGAATCTCATTGATAGGTATTCTGCAATTACTTCTCCAAACATTCTTTTGAGTTTTGAATTTGCGTTTATCCAAGGCACCTAAATTCTTATCCTGTTAAAAAAAAAAAAGAAGACAGTATCCTTAGAATATGGAGGGGTTAAGTTTCTGGTCCAGTCTTCGTATATTTTTTGGATTCCTAGTATTAGAATAAAACAATCCCAAATTCAGCTCTTTGACTATCGTTCAACCTCAAATTCCAAAAACACATCCGTATCCATTGACCTAACTTCCTAAACCATTATTCTTCTTATCATCCATCGATCAAAACTGATTCTCCTTTTCGTCCATCTGTCTCCAATTAATTTTTCCCAGAAAAGTAAAAGTCTAAGGCTTAGATGATATTCAGTTTGTGACAGAAAATATTATCATCATCATAATGATCCCAATCAATCACCCTAAGCCATCTGGCCTTTGTCTTCACAACAGCTTCTAATAACAAAATTACATCCCCATGGATCTATAACATTCACATTATTAATCTCACCCCAACAAGAACGTTGTTGATGTTATGTTCCTGCGAAGCAATCTGAAACCTTCACTTCATCTAAAGGACAAGAGATTTATCTTCATCCATGTAGTCTTGTAGTTCCAATCTTGTTTTTGTTTGTGTGTTTCTAGCGTTTGTTGGTACGGGTATTGGTGTGGATGGGAATTTCATAGAATATTTTGACACTCTTTTCGGAGAGAACAGAGCCAGAATCGAAGATGAAGGCCAAAGCTTATTCCTAACGTTGGATCAATATTCTGGGTCGGCGTCGTTTCCAAGAGTAAGTTTTTGTTCGGAAGATTTGATATGCAAATCAAACTCGTCCCAGGAAACTCAGCAGGAACCGTCACTGCTTTTTATGTAGCTATAATTATAATGATAAGATGTTTTACTTCGTGCCATGAAGGTGTTATATATGTATGTATATGTATGTGCCTACATGTTTTATGGATTGGGATTGGTTTTGGAGGTTAATTTATTTTGGTGTGATTAATGTTGTGTGCATGTGTAATGTACGAAGCTAAGCTCGGAGGGGCCACACCACGACGAGATAGACATAGAGTTCCTAGGAAACTTGTCGGGAGATCCTTATCTGATGTCCACTAATATTTTTGCATATGGCCAAGGTGGTCGAGAAATGCAATTCTACCTTTGGTTTGATCCCACTAAGGACTTCCACACTTACTCTATTGATTGGAACTCTCAACGTATCATGTAAGTTACATTATTACTGCTCCCATGTCCATCAGAATAGGGTAACTTTCAACCATTGCATAGAGTTTTATGCCATGCGTAAATAACATTATTAATCTTTGAAACTTTACAATAAACTTTCCTGAACATTTATATTATGCAAATAACTTGACATTATTAATTTTGTTTATTGTTTTATTATTTGCAAATGATCATTTAACGGGTATTGCTTATAACTCAAAGTTTGTGTAGATTGTATATGCATATAAAAATAAAGTTTAAGAGGTGTAAAATTGATTAGTTTGAGATTAATCAACAAGTTGTAAAGGATAAAGAAGTTATTTGTACATGGTTTTAAATTTAGGGACCTTTTATGCTTTAGCCATATTATTAATGACTTGTTAATAATAGGAGTCAATTCTCTAATCATTTTGTATTAAAAACCACCCCATTAATGAAAACCTTGCTCTTTACATGTGTAATTATTAAGATTGTTTGGAAAAAATTATAAATTTGAGAAACTATAAATATTGGGATTTTATATTTAGGACCAAAACAAAGACCGTAATAAACTCTTATATTTAAAACTGGAGGAAGTATACTGATCATTCCTTCTTCCTTCCATTCTAAGTAAGGAATTTGGGTGTGTTTGGATTTTCATGTGCAACTGCATAATTTTTTAATTGAATTTGAATGCAGAATACTTGTGGATAATACTTCCATAAGAGTGATGTGAAACAGGCATGATTGTGTGATGAGCATAAGCCCATGAGTCAAACAAGGAACATGCAAATGAAGGTCCACATCGCAGCACCTGTGAGAAAAGACTCACGTGGAAACTCAGGCAAGAGTGAGGAATATAAGTCGTTAGAGGAAAGAGAGAAGGGTGTGGAATATGTGATTGATCTCTGATTTCTCTCTTTCTAGGTCTCTTATTCTCTCTAAATATTCTGCTCCTTCTCTGGTGTTTTCCCTTCTCATTCCCTGTTTCCAGTCATTACGTATCTGTTGAGCTTGTATCTGGGTATTATAAGTTCAATGGGCTCTCTCTTCTAATAGGCTAATCTTTTGGGATGAGCTCTCCTTTTGGGCTTATGCTCATCACATTGGCACTTTCATTAAGAGTCGGCCAACCGAAAAGAGCTACCTACGGAGGATTCTGATCAATAAGAAGACTGAGTGAAGTGTCGTAGAGTAGAGCTGCCGAGGACATCGGCTCTTGAGAGGGGTGCTCTGTTATGAGTCCCACATTGGGGAATCTCACAAGTGTTGTGGGGTTTATAAGTTTAAGGGGCTCTCCCTCCTAATAGGCTAGTCTTTTGGGATAAGGCTCTCCTTTGGGCTTTTGCTCACCATAGATTGGAGTGCATTTCCCTACAAGGCAACCCACGAGGGTTTTTGGAACTCTTTGGAATGGAGACTCATGGGCTACCAGGTGGGGGCAGGTGAACATTGACATGTCCAATGCTCCGTTCGTCGCGTTGTTCCGGAACTTCACTGCTCGGGCCTGCACGGTGAGGCCGGAGCCATCGTGCCGGGACTTGGCGTAGCCAAACAGACCAAAGACATAGATCCGAAGAATAAGATGAAGATGCAACAAGTGCAGCAAAAATGGGTGGTTTATGATTATTGCCATGACTTTAGACGTTATGCTCATGGTCTTCCCTGGGAATGCCGCAAAGCCAATCTAATACCTCAATAGACACACACCTTATTGCAAACTATTTGTTAATTGTTACTCAAGTAGTGTATGTTTTGTTGTTTAATTTGACATAAAAAATTATTTTAATCCCTTACTTTTATACGTATTTTTTTTAGTTTTTTTAATCCTAACACCATTAATAAAAACTACTAGCATCAAAATTTTAAATGTTGAGAAAATAATCTCAAGTACTAAAATGTTAAATTTAATTTATAATAATAATGAATGTACCAAAAAATTATCATTTAAAATTAGCTGTGTTAAAGTTAAATGACTATAAAAGTACACTTTTTGGGGCAAACAAAAATCTTAAACCGTGTGAGTTTTTACTGCGAGCGCACACGAAGAATGATGAGGGACGGAACTGCACATAACGGCGCTACCTCCGAGGAGGTGGATGCCTTGGTTCGTAGCCGGAAGAAGGTTAGAACAGGTGATGGTACTTTGTCAAATGATCAATCGCTGGTCCCTAGATTGGAAGATTGGATGAGTGATGATGCGGAAGATGTGAGCCAGAAGGTGGTGTCACCTACGAAGTCCTACCAGGAAGCTTGTTCGAATCAAAACACAACCACCATGAATGAAGATGATGAGGGAGAGTGGTGGCATGGTGATGGCTGGAAAACAAAGCTTAGAGTCGAGATCACGGAAAAAGGGCCTAATGTTATTGTCCTTCCAGAGTTTCAGAGGAAACTGGCTAAGAAGTGGGAGACGTCGCTCTTTGTCCGCTTGTTGGGGCGAATGGTGCGTGAAGATTACTTGGGTGATAAACTGCAAAAGATGTGGGGTCGTCATGGTGAGGTCGAAACGCTGGAGATTGGATCTGGATACTTCCTGGTTCATTTGAGTAATAAAGAAGATTATGATCATGCTCTAACTGAAGGTCCTTGGCTGATCCTGGGTCATTACCTGGCGATCCAACCTTAGAGGGCAGACTTTGATCCGGATGCCGACAAAGTTTCAAAAATCGCTGCTTGGGTAAGGATTCCTAAGTTTCCTGTTGATTATTATGACCAAGGAATCCTCTATGTTGTAGGTAATCAGATTGGAAGAGTGTTAAAAGTTGATCGAAATACGCTTCGCCAAGCCAAAGGTCGCTTTGCTCGATTGTGTGTCGAGTTAGATTTGAATACACCTCTCTTGCCATCGATCCTGATTAATGGAAAGGAAAAGAAGATTGTGTATGAGGGCCTGCATTTTATATGCTTCACGTGTGGAAAGTATGGTCATGATTCTGAGCATTGCCTCAACCGTAAAATGTCCAACGTTGAGGTGCATTCACAACCAGCTGCTAGTAATCCAGAGGTTAGCAAGGCTGCAGTGGTTGACAAAGAACCTTCTAGTAGCACCTCATTGCAAACCTACGGTGAGTGGATGGTGGCTCCACGGCGGCGTAGGCCTCAACGAGCACAGGCGGGGAATGCGTATAATCCTGGGCGTAATGGTCGGCGTGATGGTGGGGTTGGTGTCGTGAATGCAGGATCGAGATTCATGGCTTTGAATGATCTTGATTCTGAGGAGATGGCCGTTGAAAATAATCAGTTAGTATCGCGGGAATCTCTTAATGACGTTGGCACTATAACTACCGTTATCTCTAAGGACCTGAAATCACGGGATCTTAATGTTGGGAAAAAGAAGCAAGTAGTTGCAAGCAGTGGGTCTAAAAACGATGGTGTGGGTCGAAGTGCAAGTGTGGACCGAAGTGCTATAGTTGCAAGCCTAATGGAGGCATATTTAAAGGTTAAAAATAAATTGGCAAAACAAGGCCCTACACAAGTAAGCTCGGCAAGCAAGATAGTGGTGCCAAAAAGTTCCACTCATGTTGATAAAATAATTAATAATGGACTTCCTCATTTGACTCATAGTGGGCCGTTAGATGCTGGGGTCAATTATGTGGATAGGGGTTTAGTCCCAATTGATCCGAATATTACAAATGGTGCATCTATTCCTTTAGATTCGGGTTCAGGTGGACGTACGTCTTTTGTCTTGCATTCTAATCCTTTGATGGAAGATAATGATGTGGTTATGCGTGTTGAAGGTGAAGTCTCGCTTGGGACTTATAATCAGTAGCTTCTTGTTGTTTCTGGTGTTCATCTCTCCTTTAGCTTTATGATTATAATGACTTGGAATACTCGAGGTGCCGGTGGCGCCTCTTTTCGACGTCTTTTATCTGATCTTATGGTTCGTAATAATGTCAATATTTTTGCACTTCTAGAGTCGAGGCAGGATGGGGAGAAGGCAGGATTAATAGCTCGTAAGCTTGGTTGGCCGAATAAATTTTTGGTGGAGGCTAGAGGTTTTAGTAGAGGCATATGCCTCTTTTGGGACATGAATACTGACTTTGTTGTTCTATCTTCAAGTGACCAATTTGTTCATTGCAAGGTGAGGAATGGTAATGGTGATGCATGGTTGTTGACCTTTGTTTACGGTCATCCCAATACAATTCTTAGAAGACAGTTATGGCAGTCCCTTCATAATATCTACAATGCTTCTAATATGAAATGGGCTGTGGCAGGGGATTTCAATGCTGTTGCCCATAGTGAAGATCGTTGGGGGAGGGGCAGGCAAGGTAACTCTAGGATTGATAGGTTGTTTCGTGCTTGGATTACGAGCTGTGGCTTGATTGATATTGGTTTTAGTGGGCCTCGCTTCACCTGGGGGTATGAGAGGAGTCAAAGCAGGATTGACCGAGTCTTTGTCAATGATTTATGGCATATTGCTTTTCCCAATGCTACTGTTGTTCACTTGCCCAAGTACAAATCCGATAATTGTCCGGTCCTCCTTAAGACTGACAATTTCACCACTGATCGTCCTAATAATCGGCCTTTCCGTTTTTTTGCTCCATGGGTTCTTCATGATGAGTTCCATAATTTTGTCAAGGAGAATTGGTTACCACAACATGATTGGGGTGCTTCAGTTTTTGAATTTACAAACAAGCTTTTGACTTGGAATAAGGAGGTCTTTGGAAATATCACATGAAATAAAGAGAAACTACATCGGCGACTTGAGGGAGTGCATCGTAAAATTGCGTCTACAGGGCCAACCATGCATTTGGAGAAAATTAGAAAGGATTTGTGGCACGAATTGGAAAACATTCTTAAGCAAGAGGAGGTAATGTGGCTGCAATACTCACGATCTTCTTGGTATATCAATGGGGATCGTAATACTCGGTACTTCCATGCAGTTGCTAACGGACGACGACGACGTAACAAAATTGAAGCTCTTAAGCTTGATAACAGGATGTGGTCTTATGATTCAAATGAAATCATGAACATGGGAAGCAGGTTTTTTGAAGAGCTTTATACAGAATCTGGCTCTCTAATAGGATCTCTTCACTTCTCTTGTACTTATCCGGCTATTGAGGATAGGCATCTGCAATGTTTAGGGAGGAATATTGATGAGAAAGAAATTAAGCAGGCTCTTTTTGATATGGGGCCCCTTAAGGCTCCGGGACCGGATGGCTTAAACCCCCTATTTTATCAAAGCCAATGGAATACTGTAGGGGCATCTCTTATTTCTATGGTGAAAGAAGTTTTCAACAATCCTCGCTGTGTTGAGGATATTAATGGCACTCAAATTGTCTTAATTCCTAAAATTGATCATCCACAGACTATTCGAGATTTTCGACCCATCAGTTTATGTAATGTGATTTATAAGGTGGTAACCAAAATCATCACAAATAGGCTCAAGCCCATCATGCCTCTTGTGGTGGCGCCTAATCAATGTAGCTTTGTGAGAGGGAGACAAAGTTCAGATAATATTATTTTAACTCAGGAAATCATACACTCCATGAGAACTATAAAGAAAAAGAAGGGTTTTATGGCCATCAAAATTGATTTGGAGAAGGCTTATGATCGTGTTCGATGGAATTTTATTTTTCATTGCTTAGCAGAACTTAAGGTTCCTAATTATATAAGAGACGTCATCCATTATTGCGTGTCCACTCCCCATATGCAATTACTTTGGAATGGGACTGCTGCTAAGGAATTTTGCCCGTCTCGTGGGGTGCGACAAGGAGATCCTATCTCCCCATATCTCTTTATTCTTATCATTGAGAAACTGGGCCATCTTATTCAGAGTGCTGTTGATGATGGCGACTGGCGCCCTTTTAAATTAAGTAAAAGAGGTACGCCAATTTCTCACCTATTTTTTGCTGACGACCTTATCCTATTTGCTGAAGCGGATATGGAGCAGGCTGGAGTGATCAAAGCTATTCTTGATGATTTCTGTGACATTTCTGGACAGAAGGTAAATGCAGGTAAATCACGGATTTTTTTCTCAGAAAATGTGAACCATAATAGGTGCCGCGAGATTAGCACGTTCTTGAATTTTGCACCTTCTTCTGACTTAGGCAAGTATCTGGGTATGCCTATTCTCCATAAGAGGGTGTCAAAGTCTACGTATAAATATATTCTAGATAAAATGGATTCTCGCTTATCGAGTTGGAAAGCCAATACTCTTTCGCTGGCAGGTCGACAAACACTGGTTTCGTCTGTAGTTTCGGCCCTGCCGACTTATGCCATGCAAACTGTTCCACTCCTGAGTGCGATCTGCAGTGAAATTGACAAGCGCTGCCATAACTTTATGTGGGGTAGTGGGACTACGTCTCGCAAAGTGCATCTGGTTTCTTGGAACAATGTTTGCCGTCGTAAACAGGATGGTGGGTTGGGGCTCCGTCATGCTTCTCTCCAAAATAAAGCCTTCATGATGAAACTAGGGTGGTCTTTAGCTACTCGTAGTGATTTACTTTGGGTGAGGTTTTTGAGTGAGAAATACAAGACTGGTGAGGATATTGTCCCAAGAGTTGAACGGAAGAGGTTTGAGTCTAGCACCTGGAAGGGCATCAGATATGCGTGGGAGAAGGTTAGCGAGGGGTTGGCATGGCGTGTTGTGGATGGTCGACGAACACTTTTTTGGAGAGATTGTTGGGTTCCTCATCTAGACAAATTGGAGAGCCTTGCTATATGCGAGATCCCAATGGATTACTTGGAATGGAAAGTGGCCGAGTGCATTACGGCATCTGGGTCGTGGGATTGGCAGAAGTTCAGCGAGTTTCTACCCCCTCAGGTCTTGGAGGCCATACAAAGAGTACGTGTGAATGCTACAGGGGGAAACGATACACTAGTGTGGGGATGGTCTGCTGATGGAAGCTTTACGACTAAGTCAGTGTATGGACGTCTCTCTATGATTCACCCTCCTGTTCATAATAGGAACTTATGGCAGTCTGTCTGGAAATTACGAGTGCCACAGCGTAACCGCATGTTCATGTGGCTTTGCTCCCATGATCGTTTGCTCACGAATGTGTCGCGACAGCGACGTGGGTTACATTCTACCGGGCTATGTGAAGCTTGCTATGAAGCACCTGAAACCATCCTTCATGTGTTGCACGATTGTTCCACTATCAGGCATGTCTGGACCTCCTTGCTCACCGGGGAGTGTTGGGATTGATTCTTTAGTGAGTCAATACTTACGGAGTGGATTGGGTGGTGCTTGTCCCAACGGGCCTTGGTGGAGGGCTATGAGTTTCAGTTATGGTTTGCAATTCTTGGAAGAAACATTTGGTTGAGGCGAAATGATCGTATCTTCAAGAATATTGCTTGGAGAACTAATGATTTACTTGCACGCACTAGAGCCAATCTTTCTTGGGGCTCCATGAATTTATCGCAGAAACAATCCTCTGTGTTTACGAGTGTCGGGTGGAGACCACCTCCGGCTGGGTTCGTAAAGATTAATGTCGACGGATCACGGAATCTAGCATTGGGTCTTTGTACTTGTGGCGGAGTGTTAAGAGACCATAATGGAGAGTTCTTGCGGGGCTTTATGTATAAGGTTGGGTATGGTTCAATCCTCATGGCAGAAGCTTGGGGTGCACTTTGGGGATTGAAGTTAGCTTGGGACATGAATTTAAAGAAAATCATTGTTGAAAGTGATTGCTGTGATCTAGTTCGTACAATCCAGTCTGAGATACCTTGTGACCATCCGGACTATGGTGTTCTTGTGGAAATTCAGCGGATGATTGCAAGGGAATGGGAAGTTGATCTGGTTTTCTGTGATAGAGAGACAAATAAGGTTGCTGACGCCTTGGCCGCTGAAGCTTGGACCATGTTGACTAATTTCCATGTTCTTTCCTCTCCTCCTGACAGAGTGGTTGCCTTACTGAAGATGGATGCAGCGTTTCATTTGCATAATGTTGCCCCTGTTAGTTAGTTTCTGACTGTAACCTTGTTTATCAAAAAAAAAAGTACACTTTTTAAAAAATTAAAGCATTAAATTAAAATTTTATATAAAATTAGAGAACCAAAAGTGCAATTTTTGCCGTATTATATACATTGCCCAAACAGATAACGAGCATACATTTTTTAAATATTGAGATCCATATATATACAAGCACATTGGGATCCATTTTTCAAACTGTTTCTTACTAAATTATTCCTGAGGGATCGTAGCCTTGCAACTTGCACATTATAAAAGATGATGCCGTTGACATGCAAGGATATAGCGGTGGCATATGGTGTTTTTGGGAAGAGGGTATTGACTTCCAGGTTTCCATCTGAACCGATCAGCTTATGCATGGTGCAGTACTTAGGGGACACACCGATGAATTCTCCATTACGGTGGTGTGTGGTAAGCCTCTGTTTGGGTATCATCAGAAGCTCTGGGATTCTCTTCGAATGATTGGGCCAAGCATCTGGATGCCTTGGTGTGTGATAAGGGACTTCAATGCTACCTTAATTACGAGCTGGTGAACACTTGTCTAAGGCTGTTAAAGGAGTCATGGCGAACCCTTTCTTTAGAAATGGGTTATGGACTATAAGTTCGAGGATCTTGACTTTTATGGTCCCTCCTTTACTTGGAATAACCAAAGTTGCTTTGGCCATATTGATAGAGGGGTGGTGAATAAAGCATGGTTGGACAAGTGTAAAGATGCTAAAGTCTTTCATCTGCCCAAATACAAATCGGATCACAGTCCGTTGTTATTGAAGGCATATGATACGAACAGGGAAACGCGACGGCAAGAAAGGCCCTTTTGCTTTTTCACTCCTTAGGTGACTCATGAGAGCTTTCATGACTTCGTTAAGAGCTCTTGGGATAACAGTTTGAGTTGGAACTCTACGGTGGAGGCCTTTACAGACTGTGTTGTTCTTTGGAGCAAAGAGGTCTTTGGGCACGTTGGATACCTAAAAACAAATTTTGCACAGGAAGTTACAACACTTGGAACAAGGTCTGAGTTTGAAACCGGGTCGTGTTGACCTTTTACAGGAGAGAGAGGAGGTTTGGAGGAATCTGGAGGTTTATTGTTGCAGGAAGAGGTCATGTGGCTACAGAAATCAAGGTGCAACTGGTACTCTTTCAGTGACAAAAATGCAAAGTATTTTCACTGCATAGCTAACAGTAAGGGGAAAAGAAACAGCATTGAAGCTCTTAAGCTTGAGGATGGAGAGTGGTCGTATGACTATGAAGAAATTATGAAGTCAGGAACTCAATTCTTTAAAAACTTGCATAAAACTGAGGGGGATCAAAATGTGAAGGTCGTTTTTGACACACACTTTCCGACACTTGATGCAGACTCGCTTAGTAGACTAAATGAACAGGTTTCTTTAGAGGAAATTAAGAGAGCGTTGTTTGATATGGGGCCTCTAAAAGCACTGGGTCCAGACGGTCTTAACCCACTCTTTTACCAGAGTCAGTGCGAGACTGTGGGTCAGTCAGCGGTACAAATGGTTGCTTCAGTTATGGAGCTGCCGGAGACTATTAGCTCAATAAATAAGATTGATATTGTTGTTATTCCCCAGGTGGAGACGCCCGAGACATTTAGGGAGTTTCGTCCAATTAGCCTCTGTGATGTGATCTATAAAGTTATTACTAAAGTTATTACTAATAGACTTAAAGGGATTATACCAAAGATTATCTTTCCTAATTAATGTAGTTTTGTTCTCGGCCGGCAAAGTGTAGATAACATTATTTTGGTTCAAAAAATCATACACTCTGACTTGCAAACAGGACAAGAAATGTTTTATAACTCTTAAAATTGATCTTGAAAAAGCTTACGATCGTCTATGGTGGAAATTTCTTTTGGAATGCCTAGAAGAGTTGTCGTTACCATCATGGATGGTTAATCTCATTAGAGAATGCATATCTTTGGCGTCCATGCAATTAGTTTGGAACGGGGAAAAAACTTGCTCGTTAATCATCATACGTTATCTGACAAGGTGACCCACTATCTCCATATCTATTTGTTATTGCAAAGGGGAAATTAGCTCATATGATCCAATCTGAAGTTGCTCATGAAGTTTGGCTCCCCTTCAAATTAAAGAACGATGGAGTAGCAATATCTCATTTATTCTTTACTGATGATTCAATTTTGTTTGCCGAAGCTAGTATGGAGCAAGCGGGGTTGTGAAGGTATGCCACGATGATTTTTCCATGGTGTCATGTGAGAGGGTTAACGCCGCAAAATCTCTGACCTTCTTTTCGTCTAATGTTAACCGCACCTAGCAAAAAAAGATCATTGTATTTCTGGGCTTCACCCTTACAAGTGACTTGGGAAAGTACATTGGTGTTCCGTTACACCATAAGAGGGTCTCAAGGGGCACTTATCATCACATTCTGGACAAAATGGATAGCAGACTGTCCAATTGGAAGGCCTCCTCGTTGTCTCTTGCTGCACGAAATACACTCTTGTCTTTTGTTGTATCGGCCATTCCGTCGTTTGCCATGCAAACCACTCCCCTACCACGTACGGTGTTTAAGGATATCGACAAGAGATGTAGAGCTTTTCTGTGGGGCAGTAATAATCAGGAAGCCTCACCTTGTTGCATGGGATGGCATGTGTAAACACAAAGATGAGGGCGGCCTCAGAATTTGAACGGCTACGAAGCAAAATAATGCTTGTATGATGTTGGGATGAGGCATGATTAGAAGAAGAGATGCTCTCCGAGTTAAGTTCTTGCGAGAAAAGTACAGCGAGGATGTCGTCCCTAAGATTAAAAAGCGTAGAAGTGAATCACAAGCTTGGAAAAGGATCAGAAATAATTGGGAGAACATGTGAAGGGTTTGGCTTGGAACATAGGCGATGGCTCGTAGGTTAAGTTTTCGAGTGACAGGTGGCTTACTAATCATGAACCGCTGTCTTTAAAGACTTTGGTATATGATATGTTGACACCGTCGGGGGGCTGGTGCTGGGACAGTTTCAAAGATCTTTTGCCTGTGTCTATCTTGAGAGAGGTGGATAAAGTCAGAATAGGCAGTGAAGGTCTTTCTCTTGATATGCCCAAATGGAGGTAGTCCAACAACAGAGAATTCACTCTTCGGACAGCGTATAACAGTCTAAATGACCAGGTAGATCACTCCCAATCTGGGTTATGGCGCAAGGTTTGGAAACTTAAGGTACCACAATGATGTAAGACATTCCTATGGCTTTTTATTAGAGGATGCCTCTTGACTAACTCAGTTCGATGCTTAAGACGTTTCACATTAGATGAAAGGTGCACCTTCTGCGAGAATGGCTTCATCGAGATTTCTTCGACTTCACCAATGTCACTTTTTTGGGTTAAGTGGAATATTTCTCAAACTATGAACCAAGATGGAGTTAGATGGGGGATATACTTTGCTGTTGCTTGTCGAAATATTTGGTTCAGCTAGAAACAAAAAGGTCTTTGAGAATGCTATGGAGGTAAGAGTTGTTTTAAAGCGACGGCCCTGGCTTGCTTAGCTTGGACTAACCTGGAAATGAAGTCCCTATAAGGTTTATGTGAGCCTAACCCGAAGTGGCACCCACTGTTGGAGAATTGTATTAAGATTAACATGGATGGAGCCTATAGTGCTGCTATGACTAAAGCGGCTTGTGAAGAGATATGTCGCGATCATACGGGGAAACTATTGCGGGGCTTCATGGTTCATTTAGAGCCTTGTAGCAGTATCTCCATACAGAGCTTTGACCCCTTTTTTAGGGAAAAAAATATCAATGAAAGTCTTCGTTGGGTCCTTCTAACCAATAAAACTTTTGAGCAGAAAATTTTCGTCAATTTTTTTATTAGTTGTCACTACAATATTTTGTACAATAATCTTGCTTTAAGTGGCGTACTCAAGATTTCCACACGCATTTTGAAACCATTTACAACTAATTTATCTCCTAATAACACAAAGCTTTAAAAAGCTAGGTGTATATTTATGAGTAGTATAACAAATTTCTCAAGTCCCTTGGCTCCTACATATGCTTGAAAATGATGATCTAGCGAGGAAATTGCTCTGTAAAAGTAAGTTCATTTCTCGATTCTTCAACAGATTGATCTCCAGATGATGACGATGGAATAATCTTAATACTTGGCATGCTTGTCCAATTATAAAAGAATGGTTCTGAAGGAATTGGGATGGTACAGGAGGAGCTACTTAGCAACGTAACAATGGAAGCCATTGATGGCCTATGAGCTGCGTTTTCTTGAAGACATAGTAAACATATTTGGATGCATCTCATCATTTCACTTCTTGAAGATCCTTCTTCTTCAATCAATAATGTTGGATCTGCAATATTTGAATACATTCCTTTACTCCAACTTTTCCAAGCCTGTAAGAATACTTTGTTTAGTTGCAGAACCCAAAAAACAATGAAGAATGATTTTCAAACCTGATTCAAGTACTGATAGAGGGAAATACTTACAGCAGTTCCTATATGCTCTATGTTCTCCCCATTGTGGAATTCACCATTCTTTTGACCACTTACAATTTCTAAAACCAATACTCCGAAACTAAAAACATCTGACTTTGTTGAAAAGATTCCATGTTTTGCATATTCTGGTACCATGTATCCACTACATGTGCATATCAAAAGATGATTAGTATTTAAACTTAATTAATCTAATAATAGCTCTAGCAATAGTATATAATCTAGAATATATAAACTTACTAAGTCCCACCAATTGTACTTGTGTTGCTTTGAGTTTGATCGACTGCAAACAACCTTGCCATACCAAAATCTGAGATCTTAGCATTCATGTCTTCATCTAAAAGTATGTTGTTTGGCTTTAAATCACGGTGAATGATCTGTACTCGAGAATCTTGATGGAGATAAAGAAGACCTCGAGAAATGCCTTCTATAATTTTGACACGCTTTTGCCAATTTAAACATGCTCTCTTGATTGGATCTGCATTATGTCATGGACAACACATTCCATGATTTAAAGTACTAATCTAGCTATTGAAGTTTAACATGATACTAATATTTTAGAAATTTAACCTCTCCAAATATTAGCTATCATACCAAAAATGAAGTAATCAAGGCTTTTGTTAGGAAGGAACTCATAAACGAGAAGCCTTTCTTCTTTCTTGAGACAAAAACCAACTAGCTTGACTAAATTCCGATGTTGTAGCCTGGCCATTAGCAACACTTCATTCTTAAACTCCACATCACCTTGGCCAGAATTCCTGCTCAACCTTTTTACAGCAATCTCTTGTCCATCATACAACCTACCCTGGAATTATATATTAAAAGAAAAAAGCGCACACACAAAACTAGACCATTGAGTTTGAGTAACGCAATGCATGGGAGGAACCTAAATTTATTGTTATTTCTATAAAACAATTTAGTCATATATTCCTTCAATTCTAAATATAAAACCCATTTTATATTATAATTTACATTATAAAATAGGTCTTATATTTAAAATCGAAATGGTATCTTCAACTATTATCTTACCAAGTAAACGGCTCCAAATCCACCTTGTCCAAGCTTATTTGCATCAGCAAAATCATTTGTTGCCATTCTGATGGTTTCAAAGTCCATTTGCAATGAGTCGGCAGCATCATTAGCTTCAGCTATATAAACATGGATGGTAGTATAGTACAGGGAGTTATGATTAGTTATTAATAACTATATATCAACTACATATGAAAATAAGTTCCTCTAATAACTAATTTGAAAAATGAATAATAATTTTTCGACCTTGAAATTGGACAATAATTATCATTCAATCTTAAAATTCAATATAAAAAAATAAAGTATGTATTTTGAGTTATTTCTGCAGAATATACATACGTTTTTATTTACTTTCAAAGTATATATTTTAATCTAAATTTAATTTTTAACAAAAATAGCATTAATAAAAAAAATTGGTGATTTGACTTTTCAATAAAATATAAATAATTAATATATGTAATTTAATGAAATTTTTGGCAACCGTTTATTTAGTTAAGAAGATACATACTTGTATGGAAACATTTTCATATGTTTCATGTTATAATATTATAAACATGAGACGTTGACTTGCTTCCAATTTTATTGGGTCGCCTCATTGGTTTTAAATATATTACAAAGATGAAGATGAGTAAGGTGAGTCCTGCGGTGAAGGCAACAACCACGGCAATAACAATCCTTGATGACTTGTTTCTCTTTCCTGCACAAAGGAAAATTTGCACTTGTATTTATGACAAGTTGATCCTGATAAGTTAAATTCAATAAATTTTCCAAAAGGAAATAAAAGAAAAAAAAAGAAATAGCTTTGATATATGCCTTTTAAAAGGGTTAGGATATTTTGAAATGTAAGTCCCCGTGAATTATAAGGGGTAACAACGGTGAATTATGACGGGTAACAAACGCCACTGCACAGGCATATTCTCATTCTCGTTGGAAATCTGTTTGAGATACTATTTAGTATTAGTTGTGAACTTTCTTAAAAATGGGAATTGTAATATTGATTCCCTATGTTATAAGAGCTTGACCTCTTCTGCTAAACTCAACCCTTTTTAATTGAGACAAAATTCTTTTCACAAATTTTTTCTTGTTCATAATATAAGAAGTCTTCTAGAAGAAAATTTTAATCCAAAATATAAGATGTTGACAAAGTAATTAATAATAGTTTTTCACTTTTACCTCTTATTACATAGGGGGGAGAGTTTTAAATGCAAGAGAAAGAGGGGAGAATTTTCCAATCACTTTCTTTAATAAAGATAAAATAAATAACTTTTATCAATCGAAAACATATTTAATGACTTTCCTAACTTTTTTGTTTTGTGAGAAAACATAACCAACTTTTTATATTATAGATCGAAGGGAGTATATACAGTCCAAAATTATTTCTCCACAACTAATCCAAACACAAACTCTAGGCAGTAATTTTCAGTTTTAGAATTATATTTTCTTGATCTAGTTTAATTTTTTTAAAAAAAGCCCTGATCATATAAGTTTACCTTGTTTAGAGGCAGGATGAGGTAACGGTGACTGCACAAATGGTTGTGTATTATTGTATGCAGAAGCGTCAAAGAAGCTATCGAGTCTAAATCTAATATAGCAACTGGGTGGGACCACCTGACCACCTCTCTTTCCGTCACAACATTTAGAAATATCAGAGATTTCCCCGCTCAGGCAAATGTCACAATCCTTGTTTGACAAGTCCGGCGTGCACTGTGCAAGACCGTACATGGTTTGATTGCCCGGACCACTAACATTCGCCACTGCAAACTTTCGAAACGAGTCTCTAGAAGCAGCCCTTTCTCTCAGATAACTCATCATCTGCATCAACACATTCTTGAACTCGTCTTTCTCCAAAGCGTCGGAGCTGTCTGACGAATTGTAACTCGGTGATGTTTCCATCACACCAAATATCAATCGGTTTGAGTATCTCAGAAAACAGATGTCATACCACCCGATCGCTTCCCTCGCATTAGGTGAACATACTTGGAGAATAATCACCCTCGAGTCTTGGATGCAACTGCGGCAATCTTGTCCACTAATGTCTCCTCGGCATAGTCCGATGACGTAAACTTTGTCGAAGTTGTTGCTGGAGGAGAAGTTGTAGAAACCATAGTCGATTTGTGTGTTGTAAGACATGTTTAGTAAAAGGCTTCTGAGGTTGGATCGGAAGGAACTATTGCTGTTAGCAGGGCTTTCACCACAGACATACTTCAAGAAGTCTTGCTGGGCGATAGTGCCATGATGAGAAATTAGGGTTATTAGGCAAAAGAGAAAGAAGAGAAAGGAAACCCTAGGCATGGTTATTGTACGTGATTTCTCTGTGAGTAGAGATAAATAAACTAGGTTTCTGTATAATAGTGGCGCACTGAGCCAGAGGATTACTATTCATTTAAATAGAGGGTTAGAAACCTAGAATGTACAATGGTGTGACACGTATACAGGACTGAACAATGTAAAAATATCTCCGTACAAAGAATAATAAATGGACTCTATAACAATTGGGCTTTGGACTCTTTTTATGTATTGGGCTCTATAGTCTTTGTCTTAACAGGCCCCCTCAAACTAGGGATGGGTAACTTCGAGATCCCTAGTTTGTCTCTTAAGGCCCAAAAATGTGAATGAGACAAAGGTTTAGTGAAGAGATCTGCCACTTGCTCAGAGGAAGGTACATAGCACATAGAGAGTTTGTAAGCAAGAACCCGGTCCCTGACATAATGCACATTCAGCTCTATGTGCTTTGACCGAGTGTGGAAGACTGGATTTGAGGCGAGAGCAGCGGCGCTAAGGTTGTCGCACCAGGAAATCGGAGGCTCCCTCAGATGAAGTCCAATTTCTTGCACAAACGCTTGAATCCAAGCCAGCTCCGTCGTGAGATCTACAAGTGCTTTGTATTCGGACTCCGCACTGGATCGAGCGACCACCTTTTGCTTCTTCGCTGACCATGAAATTAGAGAGTCACTGAAGTATACGCAGTAGCCACCCATGGATTGTCAGTCATCAGGACACACAGCCCAGTCGGCGTCGGAAAATCCTTGCAAGGTAAGATGATTGCTCGGTTTAATATGTAAAGCCATATCCTTTGTTCCCTTTAGATACCTGAGTACTCGCTTTAAGGCTTGCCAGTGAGTGCTTATGGGTGAACTCAGAAATTGACTTAGTTTATTCACTGCGAACATGATATCCGGTCTAGTGTTGACAAGATATTATAGAGCTCCAATCAGTTGTCTGTACAGAGTAGGATTTCTAAGTGCGATTCCGTCATCTTTGGTGAGGTGTCAGTTCACTACCATAGGTGTAGGAACCGTTGAGGAATTCTGCATGCCACTCTTAGTCAGTAAACTTGCAATATACCTTTCTTGTTTGAGATACAGACCAGTATAGTCTCTGTAAGCTTCTATTCCCAGAAAATGATGAAGTCGGCCGAGATCTTTCAGGGCAAAGTGTTCGTTCAGGTGCTTGACAAATAGATTAATTAGCTTGCCTGAGTTTCCTGTGACAATAATGTCATCTACATACACGAGCACAAACATCACATTTCTTTCATGCTTCAGGAAGAACAACGAAGAATCACATTTAGAGTGTAAGAAACCCCAGCCAACCAAGATAGATTTAAGTTTCTCAAACCAAGCTTTGGGAGCTTGTTTAAGACCATACAGGGCCTTATTCAGCAAGCAGACGTGATTTGGGAATTTTGCATCCATGAAGCCTTCAGGTTGCTTCATAAGTACCATCTCCTGTAGGTCACCATTTAGAAAGGCATTATTTATGTCAATCTGCCTGATTTGCCAATTAAAGGTGATTGCTATTGTGAGAACAAATCTGAGCGTGGGAGCCTTTAGGACAGGACTGAAAGTTTCATCAAAGTCAATACCAGGATTCTGTTGAAATCCTTTTGCAACTAATCTGGCTTTGTGTTTTTGAAATGAACCGTCTACATTAAACTTATTTTTCAAGACCCACTTGCAGTCGACTAGATTCCCTTGACCTGAATACGGAACAAGCTTCCATGTTTTATTTTTGATCAAGGCATGAAATTCTTCTTGCATAGCTTTCTTCCATTCCCTGCTCTTTGGAGCTTCTTGTACACTACATGGAGTGATGTCCTCTACTTGTTCTGTCATGACAGCACCTATGTATGGCATTTTTGGCTTTGATATTCCAGCTTTGCTTCTACTGATCATAGAGTGTTGATTTCTGATCATTTGTTGTTGAATGTTCGAACCTGATTCACTTGAATGTTCATCATTGTTTCCATGGCTTATGGAAGAGCTGGCTTGTGTTGATGGATTTTCTGCCATATTTTCAGGTGTGATGCCAGTGTAAGAATATTGAGAGTTGTTGTCAGCAGTGGGCTGTAAGTTAGGAGGAGAAACAACAGCTGGGAACTGGCTATCTTCAATGTTGTGACTTTGGATTTGCACTGGTTGTGGAGCAGGATTCGTGGCTGGACAGATAGTAGGAACTCCAGAAAGCAGAGGTTTAAAGAAACTCTGTGGATGAATTTCCTCTATAGGTAACACCTTCTTGTTTATGAAACCTGATGCAAAAGGAAAGTCAGTTTCATTAAAAACTACATGTCTGGATAGGTAAATCTTTCCTATAGGACTTAAACATTTGAAGCCTTTATGATCATTGCTGTAGCCAAGAAATACACATTTTGTGGTTCTGAATTGAAGTTTATGTTGATTGTAGGGCCTTAAGCAAGGATAGCATGCTGAACCAAAGACTTTGAGTCTGTCATAATCTGGATGCTTGCCAAACAGCCGAAAATGAGGTGAGATTCCACCCAAAACAGCAGAAGGTAGTTGATTTATTAGTCTTGTAGCAGTGTGAAATGCTTCCCACCAGTAAAATAGTGGCATTTTAGCCTGTGCAAGTAGGGTTAGGCCCATTTCTACTATGTGTCTGTGTTTTCTTTCTGCTCTTCCATTTTGAGGGAAGGTATGAGGACAAGAATGTCTGAAATGAATTCCTGCATCTTGCAGAAACTTAGAAAAACTTCTGTATTGTCCACCCCAGTCACTTTGTACAAGTTTGATTTTGCTGTCAAATTGATTTTTTGCAAAGGTTTTGAACTGAACAAACATGCTCAATGCTTCATCTTTGGTTTTCAATGGAAAAATCCATAAGTGTCTACTGTAATCATCCAGAAATAGCACATAATATTTGAAGCCATTCAACGATGTGATAGGTGCAGGACCCCATAAATCAGTGTGTATCAGTTCAAGGGGTTTAGAAGCATGAGATAGAGAAATTTTAAATGGCAATGATTGAGACTTTCCATATCTGCATGATTCACAAAACATTCTTTCATTCTTGCTGATGTTCAAATTACAATCACTAATGATCTGATTCAGCACCCTATCGCTAGGATGTCCAAGTCTACAGTGCCACAAAATTCTATTTGAACTAGGATTCCTAAGTGCTGAAATATCAGCTTCTTCTTGTTCAGCCACAAACACTACATCTACGCTTCCATCCTTCCTATGCCTTGAAACTTTAAACATTCCACCATCACTTGGCAGTCCTTTCAGCATTGTTTCCCCCATTTCTTGTTCCTTCACAAAAAATCCAAGTTTATTAAAGACAACATCTGCATCATTATCACAAGCTATTTTGTAGACACTCAATAGATTCTTCTTAATTCCTGGTGAATAAAGAATATTGTTCAGCTTTACTGTTTTGCCTGGAATATTAGAGATTGTAGAGGAACCTGTTTTTTCAACATTAAGTTTATCACCATTTCCAACAATAATTCGCATCTTACCATTTGGAGCAGTAGGATTATCAATTTGAGTAATATCACTGGTAACATGGCTTGTTGCTCCACTGTCCAGGTACCATGCATCATCATTCACACTTTCAGGAGTGGCCCAGTACGCAGAATGGTCAGAGTTTGAAGCAGGACCACTACTTGAGGAGTGGTATTTTTTCTTATCACTGGCCACAAAGGTCCTGTCAAATCTGTAGAAACATTTCTCAGCTTCATGGCCAGGACGACAGAGCTGACACCTAACTGGTTCATTGTTGTGATCCCAGCTGTTGCCACGTCTGCCTCTTCCTCTGTTTCCACGGTTCCCACGGTTTCCACGCCAATTGCCTCGTGGGGTAAATCTTTCTGACTTAGCATAGTTTGCAAAATTTATGGAGATATTCATTTGAGAGAACTGTTGTAGCTGATCCATTTTGCTTTCGTAGGTGAGTAGAGATGATTGAAACTCAATCCAAGTGAGCTCATTTACTTCCTTGCTCAGTTGGACTACTATGGGGTTGTAGTCTGCATCAAGTCCAGCAAGAACTTGGATGATCAAGTCAAGAAGTGTAACAGGGCACCCAGCTATTGCAAGTTGCTCAGAGATATTCTTCATTTTTGCCAAATAATCTGCCATCTTCACTGTACCCTTCCTGGTACGCTGGAAATCAAATTTCAACATAAGAACCCTTGACTTAGTTGCTACTCCAGCAAGTTGTTTGGCTGCATTCCAAAGTCCAGCAGCTGTGGAGACTAAGACCATCTGTGAGGATACCTCAAGCGTCATTGTGTTAAGCAGCCAGCCAAAAATCAACTGGTCAGCAGCCACCCAGTCTTCAAATTCTAGGTTCAGAACCTATTTGTCAACAACAGTGACAAATTGGGGTGGACAGACTTTGGAGCCAGTAATAAAACCTTCCAACTTGTGACCCTTGATGATAGGTAGCACGTGAGTCTGCCACACTGTGTAGTTAGTCCCATCCAGCTTGACGGAACACACTTGGCTGAGAGTTGGACCGGTAGACCCCTTGGGAAGGGCAGAGGCATTTGCCAGAGAGGTTGCTTCAGCTGTCTTGTCGGAGGAGGAAGCCATGGCAACTAGCCCAAAGGCTCTAGTACCAAGATAAATAAACTAGGTTTCTGTATAATAGTGGCGCACTGAGCCAGAGGATTACTATTCATTTAAATAGAGGGTTAGAAACCCTAGAATGTACAGTGGTGTGACACGTATACAGGACTGAACAATGTAAAAATATCTATGTACAAAGAATAATAAATGGACTCTATAACAATTGGGCTCTGGACTCTTTTTGTGTATTGGGCTCTATAGTCTTTGTCTTAACACGTAGTAAAGGTAGGTTTGAGGATTGTCTAACTGAGGTCTGTAATCTTTTCTTTTCTTTGTATTTAGGTTAGAAGATGGTACCAAGTGTAATTTGGGAATTGAGAGTGACAATGCCCAAACTTTACTTAGAACGACTTGTAGTCATCTCTGGAGTCTAGACTTCTTTCCGTTCTATCAAAAAAAAAATCTCTCGAGTCTAGA